CCTTTGTTGTGGACACATTTCCCTGAGATGAAGCTTCTCGTACCACAGCTTCGAATGTTAAACATGCATTGAGCAGTGTCACATTCGCAACTCCTCAGTCCCTCCTCACTCTTGAAATGCATAAAAAAAAATCACATACATTTTAAACTAAATGGCAATCAATACATTGTTATTTTTAGGATGGACAGTGTTCCTCTATCATATTGCCTTTAAAATGATTGTAAACCCACAGGCAGTCTGAAATGCAGGAATAACTACTATTATAAAGCCTAATTTTGTATTTTAGAGAATTGTATATCTACTGCTACAAAATAGGACATATGATTCAATAATACTTTAGTGCACCAAAGGTGCTCAATCCAAATAAAAGTTTCATTTATTCCAATATTTAAATATTAAAAAAAAACATAGTACCTGTATGGAAAGCCATGCTTCTCTGCAGCTTCAGAGCTGCCGATGCCTTCTTATTATTGCCTGCTTGGAGGTACAGGATCAGTGACAAGTTTAGAAATGACTTGACAGGACACTCAGAGTTGCTTATGTTAACCTGTGCATAATAGTTTCATGTTCTTCTTAATTAATGCATTTCAAAATATTAACCTTTATGTGGCCAAGTCTCCCTTGAAAAAGAGATCTTGATTTCAACAGGACTTCCTGGCAAAATAAAATAAAAATGTGGCTTTAAATAAATTCTGGGGTGCACAAACCTTTCTGGAAAATTGGTCAGTTCCACCAAACATAACCAGACTATTAGAGAAAGAAAGACACACACAGTATATCTCTTTCCCCTTGTTTTCCACAGAGCCCAGGGCATTAGTAAGGAGGTGACACACATGATGCGCCATGGTGAGCATCTGATCCCATCTTTCAGAAGGTTTCGAGCAGGAAGCTAGAAGCTTGAAGTCACTGTGTAAAAGTTGGAGAGTGAAAGTCCAATCACAGAGCAGTGTGTTATGGGTGCTGAGAATGTGTGAGATCCACTGACCCACATGACCTGCAAAACAACAGCAGCTTGCTGTAGTCTTCCTGTCGTATGTCTTCCTGGGGCCTGAGGCCATAAAACTGATTAATGTCCATAGACCACTAAGTGCTGCTAACTATTGTCTGTTGTTTCAGGAGGTGAACAGCATTATTTAAAAAAGAAACTACTTTGAACAATCCCATGAGAAGCGGTACAATAAAGTTAGATTTTACACATAAATTGCAGTATTTATCCTTGCTCATAGTTGTAGTTGAATCAGAAATAGCTTTAATGCATAGATCCAGAATTAGTGATATTTTGCTGTGCCACATAATCAGTACTACAAGTTACATTGTACTGTATATTTTAACCTTGTGATTATGTTGGTTCGTACTCATAACCTTTGACCTATGATCCTTTGAAGTTTATGTTACCAAATTACGAAATGTAATTGATTGTGTTGTTGTTTCTAATCACTGGAGTGTTTGTTTATTATGATAATCCAATTGTGTCAGCTTGAAACCATACAACCATGTAGTGTAGTCGAACAGGAATATGCATGGCGCATCAAATCCCAAACAATCCATGAACCAATAAATAACATCTTGATTGCACTTTATTTTATTTACCACCAGATGCCCTCCTCAAGCACTGTCAATAAATGATACTTCTCAATTGCACTTCATTTTATTGACCACTAGATCAATCAATCAATCAAATTTTATTTGTATAGCGCCAAATCACAACAAAAGTCATCTTGGACATTATAGAAAGTAAGGTCTAGACCTGGGTTGCCCACACTTTTTTGCCTTGCGAGCTACTTTTCAAATGACGAAGTCAAAATGATCGACCTTTTTTGGCACTTAATAAGTCCAGCATACTTTCAGCTATACAGGCCATTGAGGTCTTGATCTGTTCAACTCTTCAAGGACATTCCTGCATGTACTCAAAAACTTGTTGCATCATTCCCAAAAAGACTCATGGCTGTATTAGCTCAAAAGGGTGCTTCTACTAAATATGCTGAGTCAATGACACAGTCTTGGAGTGCCATCTGGTGGTTCATAAAATGCAGCGCAATTGGGACATGCCCCAGCATAACTCCTCCCTCTGTCTCTGTCTGTTCCGCCCCCCCCATTGGACTCTTTTCACATCTTTAATAAGTTCAGCATACTTTCAGCTAGCAAAGCCATTCAGGTATCAAAATGTTCAGCTCCTCAAAGACAGTCATTTCTAAACTTCATACTTTTGAAATATTTAGCTTTATTTTGACAGTCTTGCCCCATTCAAATGAATGGGAAAATTCTACTTCAGCATAATTTCAGTTATCAAACTGTTCAGCTCTTCAAGTACATTCATGCTTCTCTTCTTACAGCGCTGGGATCAGAGGGGCAGAGCTCCCGCAGGAGGTCCATCCACTGACTGCGAATTAAGGTCTTACAATACATTTTATCTTCTTGGGCTGCTCCGCCCTGGACAGAGGTGCAACCTTCAATAATTTGTGATCTTATTGGTAATTTGGTGCGAGCTGGAGCTCGCACTTCCATGTTGAAATATGGTAAACCTAGGTGTGTGTGTGTGTGTGTGTCTGTGTGTGTCTCTCAGGTGGTGAGCCCCTGGCCTCTACAGGACATCCCAAGACAAAGCAAAGCTTGGGATATGCTAAGTGGGTCGAGGTGTGATTGTAAAACAGGCCTTTGCTAAAATGTAAAAAGGCTGTCTGGTCACAAAGAGATGCAGACAGCTAGTCTCTACAGAAGTTACATCATTCAAAGTGGGCAGATTCTACTTGATTCTCATCAATACAATTGTAAGATATATAAGCAAGGAAAATAAATGTATTAAGAATAGTGTTAGCTATTTTTAGTCAGATAGATATTGGTTAGATACTTTATGCATTAGAAATGTTTAGTGGAGACAGGATGTCTAGTTAGACTGTTTAAATGCTTAGTCGTCCTCATGAGATTTTTCTACTCTGAGCTCCTCCCGGGTGACCGAGCTCCTCACCCTATCTCTGAGGGTGCGCCCGGCCGCCCTGCGGAGGAAGCTCATTTCGGCCGCCTGTATCCGGGATCTTGCCCTTTCGGTCATGACCCAAAGCTCATGGTCATGTATTATTCAATATATTGTAATATATTAATTCATTATATTATTCAGCATATTTTGCAATATATGTTATACACACAAAATAACCTGACATACATTCACGCATAATATATTTGGAAATATATTTTCTTTCCGTAAGGGGTATGTATATTTTTGCTTTGAAAGAACTAGTTAGTAAATATAAAAGTAAAAATTCTACTGTATTTACGTGTTTTTAGACGCTTCTAAAGCTTTTGACCGAGTGAATCATAGGAAATTATTCAAGAAACTGTGTGACGCCCGAGTGCCTATATAGTGAGATGCTTGTCATATTGATATGCCCACCAGACTGTGTCAGATGGGATAATTGTATATCTGCACCCTTTCAGACCTGTAACGGGGTAAGACAGGGTAGTCTGTTGTCCCTGATTTAGTTTAATTTTTATATGAATGGTCTTTCTAAGGAGCTAAATATGTGTAAAACAGGATGTATGGTTGGAGGTATAATAGTGAATCACTTACTGACTCACTGGTGATATAGTCCCAGCTGAGCAGGTCTCCAGCAGCTCTTGAATGTATGTTCCCTGTTTGGGGAGCTTCACCATATCAAGTAAAATTCAGCTAAAAGTGTTATTATGATATGCTGCACAAAAGAGGACAGGTCCCTTGCATTCCCTTTTTTTTAAGTTATGGTAACATTTTAACTGTGAGTAATGAAGTTAAGTACTTGGGTCATGTTATAAATGACCGCTTGTTTGATGACGGATATGTATAGGCAGTGCCGCATGTTATATGCACAAGCAAATGTATTGGTTTGGAAATTTGGTTCATGCTCGGATGAAGTAAAACTGACTTTGTTTAGAGCTTATTATTCCTCCCTGTACACTGCTCATCTATGGTCTAATTATAAAAAAGGCAGTCTTAGGAAACTTTTTTTTAGCATTTATACATCTGGACCTTGAGTCTGTAATAAAGTATCTATCTATCTATCAATCCCCTCATTATGCATATTCCTATCAGACCACCTACTCTATAAGTAGAGAGTTTCTGCTTTGAGGCGGAATGGAAGTTTTCTTTAAGCTTGTTAATATAGCATTTCACAGATATTTGGTGACTGCATGGTTATTTGGTATTTACATATTGTTTTGTTTGTGTGTGCAGCCAGAGCCCACTGCCTTATTTTGTCAGGCTGTATTTTGTTGTGCAGTACTCTGTCGTCTAGCACCTTGTCTGGGACTGACCTGCTTTGTTTTTCTTATTTTGTTCTTTTTTATTGAAATATCTGTACCCTAGTGTGTGCAAGCTGTCACTCAAGGGAAAACAGATATATGCTCTGTTTACCAAAGCTCTTATTAAAATGTGCCCTGCTGGACATCAGAGGTGCAAGAACCCAGTAATTGAGTCCCATGTGTCAACCAATTTACCCGCACTACATTTGTATCCCATAATATATTCAAGATTAACACCCATCATCCATTTACCCTTGTCAGTGACTTGTCAATAACCTGGATATTGCCATCTAACACCAGAAATATATCAATATACTTTCATTATATCTCTAAAAAAAAAAAAGTATACATAGTTGAAAATGAGTTCATGTGTGAGATTCACCCCTAAAATGTCTTGGTTCATCATTTGGTTAAATGTCAGTAAGCTGCAGGCTTGGGCATGAGGACTTTCACAACAGTTCCAGATGAATTTTAAACCAGCTTTGAAGAGAAAAAAAAGTCATGTCAAATCATCAGCATCCTAATTTGAACAACATGGGTATCCATGTATAATGGTCCAGGCTTGAGGAAAACTCTTCAAATCAACTCCTGTGAATAAAGTTAACAGTTATTCGCATATGAGGAACAGGGTTCATGTTCTACCAGCACCGGATCATTCACTTGCTATTATAGTATACCCGGTGTTTCAACTCGTACAATTCCCATACATTAGCTCATTTAAAATCTGACTAAAAATCTCTGCCATGTCTCTCAAAAGAGACATGGATGTGACCTGGGGGTATAGCATGAATGGACTGAAAGTAAACAAAAACATGTGTCTTTAGAATAATCAGAAGATGCCATAATCGCATTCAACTAGGCTTTAATGATGGTACACTCTATAGGATGAGTATTGTGCCTATTACCGGACATGTCAGTACATATGTTTAATACTGATGACGTGATTGTATAGTAATGTCCAGGTGATGTCAATGTACACCTGATTCCTGGTGTGTATTTGGTTGTTGGATGGTTGAGTTTATATTGATTGAGTTTGTCTTAAGATTTGATTGTTTAATTTGATTTTACTTTTCATATCTGTTTTATTTTTAAACTATGCAGGAAATACGATTTAACATTCAGCGCCAGTGTTTTGTAGATTCATAAATAAACCAAAAATATTTTTTGTAACTCCAAACTTTGTGTACTGACAGTACATTTCAACTGGATTACACCCTTGAAGACAGTATAGTATTACAAAGTCTTGTTTCTTTTGTGTCCTTTAAAAAAAAAAATTATACACACTGTAAAAAATTCTGAAGACCTCAGGAAGGGTAAAGAGCAGAGAAGAAAATGTGCTCCGTTTCAGCAGTAAATGGACTCAGGTAGGCTGGAAGAGGTGTACTCCTGTTCTATAGAGAACTCTGCAGGCTGCCAGTGACACTCGATCAGAGCATCATACAGCTCCTCACTGAGCTCCATGAACTTCCTGTTGGCCTCCACCACATCCAGCTCCGGACTGGGATCTGCAAAACAGTGTCAGCTGGTCACAATGGGCTTCACAGCAATACAGCTGTGGGCAAAGGTTTGGCCATTCACAGAACGATTACTGAGTGTGGATGGGCAATAATCGCAATTATCCATTTAAAATAAAACCTAACACAAAGTCAAACTAGAATTACCACTTTGCAGTTGTATGCCTCTGCCAACCAGTCAAATTCACAGGAATGGGACAGATATTAAGATATAATGACCTTTGACCATCAACATCTAATCAGTTCATCCTTCAGTTGACAAACTGAAAACATAATGCCTCTGGCCACTGCTATCGCTGGAACACAAGAATAAAAAGCTAGCTATAAGTGGACCAGGTGTTACAATTTAATCAAATGTAAATACAGCTATAGGGGTAAGCATTAAACTGCCTAAAAGTTTCAAACTATTTTATATGAATATGGTTTTTAAAGAGTTGTAAAAGCACACATTGAAATAAATCGTTCCAAAATGCAACTCCCCTTACAACAACAAACTACTGTTACATTTCTGTTTGCCTATACATTAAACAAATCTTGATACACAAGTCAATGAAGACGTAAGGCTCATTTGCAGCCTCCAGTCCCAAAACCAACCTTCAAGTCCATCATCCTCAACAGCTTCACTTTCCTAAAAGTAAAACAAAGTGTTAGATTGATTCATGTCTGTTAACAGTGAGAGAGGTAATGATGCTGGCAACAGAGAGCGCTCACCTGTGGTGGAGGATACTGTGTGTAATCATACTGCTGATAGTTGTAGCCATACCCTCCTCCACTCTGGTCGTAGCCCCATGATGAGTAATACCCAGGATAGGCTTGCTGCTGGTACTGGTTATACTGGTCGTACTGGTCATAGCTGTGTCTGTATACTGAACTGGGCTGCCAGGATTTGTCTGACTGCTTCTGCTGCTGCTGCGGTCTGTTCCTTAAACTGATGAGGGAGGAAGGGACACACTGCTGAATTCCACCAACTTATCTAGCTTGTGCTCCAGGCACAGATAAATCTTGTTACTGACAACAAGAGCAAAGACTTTGAGAAGAACTCACTTGTTAGCAGCCAGGCTCAGCCTCAGAGGCTTACCACCCAGTCCCACAGCACCCTGACACTCCTCTAACGCCCGCTTCTGCAGCCGCTCATCTGGGAACTGAACAAAGCCACACCCCCTACAGCAAGATGCACAGTGAGAGGGCAATTATGGAGCTTGGGAAGGTCCCGAACATTATTTCACAGCATTTCAATGAATAAGAGGCTTTATGAAATAATCCATCCATTAATTATACTGGTTATCCTGTAGAGTCTCATGAGGGCACTGGGGCCAATCCCAGGTGGGTGAGGGGCAGGGTACACCCTGGGCAGGTGGCTAGTCCATCACAGGGCTAACACACAAAGAGAGAGAGACAACCACTCACACTTCCCTCCCACAGTCCAAAGACATGCAGCTTAGGTTGATTGGTGTCTCTAAATTGCCCATAGGAGTGTGTGTGTGTGTGTGTGGTTGTTCGTCTATGTGTTCGCCCTGCGATGGATTGGCGACCTGTCCAGGGTGGCTCGCTTCCCCGGTGCTGGCACTCTGGAATTTGATGAGTTCACTGCTGACAGAAGCAACAGGATGACTTGCAGAGGTATTCAGCCAAATGCATCAAAACTCACTGGATCATATTTCATCATTCGGCAGGACAACAATCCTACTTATGGTCAGAGCCACCAAAGAGCTTTTCAGGGTGAAAAGGGGGAAATATCCTCAAATGGCCGAGTCAACCACCTGATCTCAGCCTGAATGAGGTGCATCCCGCTCGCTGAAAACAGACTAAAGGCAGGGAGACCCCAGAACAAGCAGGAGCTGAAGGTGGCTGTAGTGAAGGTCTGGACTGCAGCTACACCGATGCAGGCAACAATATATTGTGTTTTTACACATTGTGTGGTGACTTGATAATACTCACTTGGAGTTGCCCATGCTGTCCAGCACCACTTTTCCACCACGGCAGGAAGGGTAGCGGTTGTAAAAGAACTCATAAAGCATCCCATCATCCACCTCGGGTGTTAGATCCCCCACAAACAGAGAAAACATCTGACTGCAACAAGACAGTAAAACAGAGGCTGTGCTTTTGTCTAATACAGCAAATGTAACCAACAACAGTTATTATCAAGTATTATAACTTATTTTATATAATACCTTTCAAAACACCGCTACAAACTGCTTCACAATAAAGAAAAAAGTCCATTCAAGTTCAGTAAAAGGAGGACTCAGTAACAACATCGTCAGCAATTGTCTCCATCTGGACTCACCCACTTTCTTGTTTCCCAAAGGTGGCTCGGTTTAACTTGAATCTTGTTGGCTGTGAGAAAGAGACATTTAAGTTCACCATGCCATGTTTCATGAGTGACTGACTGAGATAAAAGACAAAAATGGCTACTGTGAACAATAAATGCTCTTCATACCGGGTTGGCCCCTGGTAAAGCTTTTCCGTTGATTTTGCGGAGACACCTCTCAGCGGTGGCCTCATCTGTCATCTCCACAAAGCAATAACCCAGAGCACCCCTGGGTGATGACACACTGTTTAATGTCAGAATAGAAATGCAAAAAGAACTGCTGCTTGTGGATTTAGTTCTCACCCTGTCATCTTGTTACGTATGATCCGCACATTAACCACCTGTTCTCCCATGGTGGAAAAGGCTCTGGTGATAAACTTCTCATCCATGTAGGTTTCCAGCTACAGAACAACAAAGAAATGTGTGGACAAAATTAAAAAATAAAAGAGCTCAGCAATTATACAGTAATGGTAGTGGTTAAAAGGAGGCTGACATTATATTCAGAGGTGTGTCTGTGTTTTTGTCCTCCCCAGCTACATACATCGCTACATACAGCGTCAGAATATTAGGAACACCTCTGAATATGATGTCGTCAATACAACGCCACCTTTAACTAAGACCTCAATAATAAACATATAATTGAATTCATACATTTATTACAGTTTAGCCCAAAACAAACATTCTGAGCTTAATAAACACCGATGTTAAGACGGACGTGTTGCATACAATTGTACAGGTGTACCTAATAAAGTGGCCCGTGAGTGAATAAGAATAGTGGGTTTTAATGCAGAAAGTGGTCTGATGTGATTTAGACGGAGGGAAAAAATACTGTTAAGTCTGTTTTTTTTTATTCTGTTTTCACAACTGCAATATAAGCCGTCCTAAAATTCAGTGCCATGCTCATGTAGTTCAGAGCTGGATCCACCAGTCCCCGTTTGGGACCATCTCCATCGGATGGACTGTTAACCGATTGTTTGAGGCTAAACCGTATTAAACGGTAGTCTTTCAGCAGTGCTACCCACAAAGCAAAGCAACATTAAAGTGCCAATTTGCTAATGGGAGTTTGAAATTAGTTATGTCCTTTTCATACAAGGTATAGGCTTCTATGTTAAGATAGCTAACACGGTGGTCACACAAAGTGATTTATCACAGTAAGAAAAAGTGTAAACAACTCACGTTTCCCATCCATAACGTGCTCATAGTGTTGCCGAAGATGTGAAGGCGCAGATTTGAATTTACTGAGAAAGAAAACGATCAATTACAGAGCTTTAAATATGCATATGCTAAGTGCAACATTACACCTCTACTTCTGCTGCTGGATCTTCTTCGTCTCTTTCTGCTGCTTCTGCGTCTTCTTCGGCTTCTTCTGCCGCTTTTGCGTCTTCTTCGGCTGCTTTTGCGTTTTCTTCTTCTTGATGTTTTATGTAAGTTGGCAAATAGTGTAATGGTGCATTACCGCCACCAACTGGAATAGTGTCTGCATCGCTAATCTAACTGTGGGCTAACTAATAAGAAATGAGAAACATACACACTCTCTCTCTATCAGATTCGTTCTCCTAAGATATTGAAACAGAATCACATTTATCTCCATAACTTCCCATAAATCAAATGATGACTGTATTTAGTATCAGGTACTTCCTGGCAGCACCATATTTTGGACAGGATCTTACAACATAACATGTTCTAAATCCTTATCTTGTTCACAAAATTCTCATCCTCTTGCATTATATTCTCACATTTTAAGCAACGTGTTCTTTAATCCTGTTTGCCCAAACCATTGTCTATTTTCTCCCTTTTCTTGCTTCTCCTTGTCTCCTCATCACACCAACTTATCAATTTTTTTTTAACCATCCACCCATTCTCTCTTTTTCTCACTGCTTCTGCCACTTTACTCTCAACTTTCATTTCTGTTTTATTAATGCATACTGTTATGTCAGTGTTGTCCTTTTTGCAGCACTTTGTCAGCTAACTCATCTCCTTTGACTTCTATAGCCTACAGTATGTGCTAGTGTCCATACAAATGCAATGCTTAATCCCAACATTTGAACTTTATACAGCATGTGATGTATCTTTATCAAAACATCTGGTCAGCTGTCTGGCTGCTTTCAGGTTCGTGATCAAATGCAATCAGGACATATGCCTGCTCTCAAAGGTTTCACTTCTTCAGTAATCCTCCAGACTATCACTTAACCCACTAGTGGAGACCATGTGTGTATTTCTTCTGTTTCTCAATGGGGAGGCCACTGTAAGAAAAGCCAGAATGGGTGTAGTTCTAAAAGCTCCACATTAGATTAGCAGGGCCTTTAACTGGATCTAATCCACTTTGCTGATCACTGAAATAGCAGCCAATTCAAACACAACACATCCACATGCATCCATCTAGGTGCAGAGTCCATCTTAGCTTTCTAGTCACTTCAAGCTAAACTACTGAGAACATACTTACTTTTTCAAAGTAACCTGATTCAAAGTCTTTAGATTTTCAGAAAACATGTGATCAATATGTTCTCCTCTCCACCAGATGGCACCATCATCTGCACATAGGGGCATCACAAAACCTTAGTGGACTTGTTGAAAGATGTGCAATAGAGTTCATGGAGCTTTTCCTCATTCTAAAGCCATTTTGATATTTCACAAAGAACCATTATTACACAAAACTGATGTCAGAGATATAGCTTGTTATACTACTTCTGGGTTACATCAGAAATATTTAACAAAGTTACCACTGCTTTGCTGTATAAATTGCATAAATAACAATCAGCTGACCACTGGTTACCTCTAATCACTCCAGGCTGCTAGCACACATAACATACTGTATGTGGGACAACCAGAGATGAACTTTGAGCTTGGCAGTCAAAGACTATGCATTGCTCTGTCTGTATATGATGGACTTTTGCTAGATATTTAGATTTCCTGTTTCTGTCCTTACATGCAAAAGACTTGTTGTAATCACCCTTTGAAGAACAGGGTCCACACCTGTCCTGTGCACACAGGCTCAGAAAGAAGGTGAAAATGCATAGACTAACGCCTTAACCCTATAAAACCATTTGTATCATATTTGCTATGCGGGTTTCTGAGCAAAAAAATTTGCCAAAAAAAATGCCCCATGTATCAAATGTGATACAAATAAAAATAAACAAAAAATATGGCACCTCTATTCCTATATGCCTGGACTGTCTGTCTATGCATATATGGCAAATAAAAATCTTGAATCTTGAATTTTCTTTAGGATTTTGTTAAAAGGTTTAATAAACATCTCAGTTCCAAAAAATTTGAATGTTCTGGCTATTTTTTGATGTGTCAGGTTTTACAGGGTTAATCAAAAATAGAGCTGGTGAGATCAAATGTTCAAATAAGCTTTTATATAGCAATAATAAATAGAAATTCAATTTTCTTAATTTCTCCAGTACAAGTAGCAGAAACAAAAAAGTCCATTAAATAAAATAAGTAGCTAGGATTTGTCTTACAAATTACATTTAATCATTTTTAATCAAATCATACTTTTATCTTGTGACAAAATATTAACATACAGTATGTAGACAGTACCATTGAGGTTTTGCTTTAGTTATTGTAGTGTTCAATTGCAGTGCTAATGCAGGTACCACCTGCTAGCTAGTCCACTGTCTCAAGAAAAAAAAGCAGTATTTTTGTGTGTCAAACTGTGAAAAAATGATTCCTCAACTTAAATAAACCTGGTTAGTTCAGTTGGTAGAGCAGGAGTCCTTAACTCAGGGTCATAGGTTTAGGTCCCACACTGGGTGCAAACCTTCTTTATAGAACGTGCTTGTGATCAACACAGGCTGTGTTGTCTGAGTCCTGTGCCAAAGTCATTTCATAGTAGTTTTATGGTAGGATGCTTTTGAGAAACAACAAAAACCAAGGTGGTCTGTTGTCTCAAGAAAAATTTGCTGGTTCCATGTGTCAGACTGTGAAAACACAACATACTGTAAAACATTTCATCATAGTTTTTGTTATCAAGTCTTACTTTTTATTTAGAATTAATCTGTTTGTGTCCTGAAAATTAGGTTGTCAAAGAAAGTCTTTCATCATAGTTTTTGTTTACAAAATGAACTCTGGAGCCGTTTAATTGGACCGTCTGCGAACATAACAATGCTATTTCAGCTACTGTAGTGCATGGTATGTGAGCAAGCTGCTGGGCGCAGCTCACAACCTACAGTGAAGACACTCTTGTTCAAATGACATGGTTAAGTGTGCACTTTGGCTTCAGGATGCTCTCAAACAGTCAAAGTAACATTGTAGCTTGACTGTCCTCCTAGTTTCACAGTCAACAGCTTACTGCCTGCTCATGTGACCCACCATACTTTTTCTTTAGGGGTATAATTTAAACATCTTCTTCATCCATGTTAGCACGGTCTGTTGTGTGTCTGACCACCAGTAGCTCTGAGAAACATTGTTTGATAAGCAGGTCATGGCGTTAGGCAAAACCCAATTCCCTTATACAGAATTTTCCTAGAAGTTCTTCTGATCCACCATCTAAAAGGACATCCCAAAGCTGCTGGAGGACCCATGAACCACTAGAGACCATCCTTTGCAGAAATTTAAGGGCAGACATACCCCTTTATCGCAAATCAGTTGGTGAGTGGATGCTTCAGATGTAGAATCAGACGAAATGACATTTTATATCTGTATAAACATTTCCTTGATTCCTCTCTCCTCACATTTTTTCCTTGCATCTTTTCCTCACATCTTACATGGGCAGGACTGAGACACAAGGAGAAGATGCAAGTGAGAGAAATGGGATGCAGTTAAGGGAACTGGGATCTACCCACTGTGAATCTCTCTTGCTCTACATTAATGAGGACACACATAAAATGTACCAATAACTTACACATATGCACATACTGTATATAGACTGAGGGGGCATAAAAAGTGACAATGTGCCAGTGAATGAGGAAGAATGATATGAGGTAGGAAATGCATTTACCATATTTTTACACCTTGAAGGTACAAACAAGTTTTATATGATTAGAAAATACTAAATGTAAAGAAAACCACTACATCTCTACATGTAACCCTTAAATACTGGACATGTTTTGAAAAAAAAAAAAAGCAGAAACAGTTACAGTCTGTTAACATTTGTTAGCAGCACAGCAGCAGCTTGGAAAACACGGATAATGACTTTAGCTGTAAACTGATCACATCAGAAGTCATATTTCAAGATGTCTGATCAAAGTGAGAACCATTTCTGTCAGCAAAAAGGGGAAACACTGCTGGCACAGCAAGAGAAACACCACAGTTCTAGGAGGCTACATGGAAAGAGCCATGACAGATGATCTGCGAGCCTGCTGTCACTCTGTCACGGCCTGCTTCTCCATTCCAGCTTGTGCCATGAGCTCAACCACGTTCTTCTCTAGGTGATCAAGGCGGGTTCCCATCTCATCTAGTGTGAAAGTGAAGGGAAAGTCTGCATGTCCAGTTATAACCACACATACTTTAATTAATTCAATATTCAAGATTTTTATTTGCCATTTATGCATAAACACAGTCTAGGCATACAGGAATTGGTTATAGGCCTGAGGCTGTAGGTGCAGTTTTTGTGTCTGAGCAGAGTGTGAGCTGGGTGGAGTGGATCTCTGATTATGTTCTATGCTCTTTTGCAGCAGTGCTGTGTGTACAGTGTGTCCATAGCAGTTCAGTCCCAATTATCCTCTCTGCAGTCATTATGACCCTTTGAAGAGCCTTCCTCTCTGCCTGTGTGGTGTTATCATACCAGACTGTGATGCCAGTAGTGAGGATGCTCTCTACCAGTCCTCTATAAGCCTGGGTGAGAGGGTGACGGTTAAGCCCAGCTTTTCTGAACTGCCTGATTAAGTATAGCCGCTGCTGGGCTTTCTTCACTGTGGCAGCTGTGTTCAGTGACCAGCTCAGGTCAGATGTCACCTGCAGGCCCAGGAACTTGTAGCTGTCAGCCCTCTCCACCTCAGTCCCTTTGATGGTCAGAGGCAGCAGAGGGTAGGGGTTCTTCCTGAAGTCTACTATTATTTCTTTTGTCTTGTTTATATTGAGGCTGACATCATTCTCCTCTCTATAAACAAGAATGTCGTTCACCAAGCTTCTGTAACCTGACTCGTCTCCCCCTTGGTGAGGCCCAGGATGGTGGTGTCATCAATTAATTCATTGGGAAATTTGCCAGATGTTTGCCCTGCTGAATGTCACCTATGACAGGACCTCCATCCTTAGGACCTTAATTGTTGGAGTTTATATTCTGCTCATTTGTTTTATCAAATTGCTTCGACTTTTTTCTGTATCAGGTAATCAACAGACAGAAAACCTTGGAGAAGTATTATTATTCCATCACAGAGGTCCTCAAAGTCTGCAGCCAATTATTTTCATTATCAATACATCTGACAAACTCAGCATCTTTAAACCAAAACATAAAGCTGTTTGGTTTACTATGAGAGTTATTATTACATGGTCAAAGTGGGGGAAATACTTTGCTGTGAAGTTTGAGTCACTTTCCTCAGTCTTCCTAAAATTGGGTACACACATTATAGATATGTTAAATGTAAATTTCAGTCATATATAACCTGATATAACCGTCTTACTGCATTTGAAATATAAAATTAACAAAAAAACATTTTTTAAACTTCAACTTAACTGTGGTAGGACTAGGAGTAAGAACATACACATGAAAATATCTTTACAGTGATACCATGAACATGCATGTGTTCTAAAGGGTTTGGGAATAATAACCAATAAAATATACAGGTAGAAATATACATGAAATGATTGAATTATCAAAATTGTTGCCAATTAAATTGATTATTATTTAACTATTCACTCCAGATCTAGATAACTAGTTGCTCTGTGGTAGCTGGGGCAGTAATGAAACTGTGTAGTGCAAGGTTTTATGGTAAATATACAGTACATTATACAGAATGAAGACTCCCTGCTGATGAACTTTGAGGTTTTGTGGGGTACTTGCCAGGCGACCCCCATTAGGCAAAGGGAACACGCCCCCTACTGCCCATAAATGTTATCGCAGGTGCGGCTGGAGACTAATAGCAACGAGCTGTGCCCAGGTGTTTTTCAACCAAGTGCACAACTCAGACCAGACTATACAACTTGCTTAACCAGAATAACTTCCCACGTCATTTGTGGGCTGAGTCTCAAAGTGAATTATCTGCAGTCTGTGTGTAAATGGCTACAGTAGAAACAGCTTACAGAAAGGATATTTTTGGACTCCAGCTGTTCAGAGATGTCCTGGAATCTTCCCTGAAGTCGCTGCATCGTTTCCTCCATCTAAGGCAAAGAAAGCAGCCAGAAAACGTAGTTAGAAATATGTGGCTGTCCGGTGATGACACACAGCTCACAGCCAGCACACTTACCGCCGCTGTCATGTCTTTAGCTGCTTTACACTCTGTTTTTGCCATCCTCCTTTTCACTAGCACACAAACATACAACCTGACCATTAGTGTACGGTTAAACAACTAAAATCCCAACTCTGTGTCCTTACAAACGCCTTAGCTTCGACCCTCATAACTTTGAGTAAGTTGAGTCAATAAACTTGTAAAACGCGTCTTCCGCCAGTAGAATTCATTATTTCAAAATAAAATTCACATCAATGTAAAACCCTGGTTTAATAGGCACGTTCGAAACAGGGGCGTTGCTAGACATAAAGCTGTACTGGGACACAGGCCACCCATTATTGAAACCACACAGTTATCTTTTCTTGAATGTTTACAAATTGAATGAAATGTGTAACCTCCACCTAAATCCTGGTTGGATAGATACAGCTAGATATTCTAAGGAATGTCAAATTTGGACCAGTACCAGAAGAGACCAGACTTCACAAGGAGCCAGGGAGGAATGTCAATAAAGAGCAACACAATAGTTAGATTTGTAAAACTAAAAAATGTATTAACAGAATTTTACTAATGTACAATAATACAACACTTAGGACAAATGCAATAAAGTGCGCACTAAATCATTGAACAGAATAAACAACAAAAGGAAAAAAAAACAAAACCCCACCCTCCAAATGAATGTCAGATCGTTGGGGCCCTTTTAAACTGGAGTTAGGGATCCTACCAGCTCCGCAGTGAACCGGATCACAAAAGTCTTTCTCCTAATCAGTTCTTCTTGAGGCTTTCACCTGGCTCGCCACCCAGCATCCACTGAGAATTTCTGATCTAATTTCCTCCAGGAAGAACTCCAGAGCGATGAGAGGGGTTTCTTTTGTTTCTTTTCTTCTACCCAAAAAAAAAAAACCTGACCTACAACAGATCAGACCAATCAAAATCAATTTCATACTCTTTACAAAAATAAATCGTATCTAATTTCATACATTTCCCATACATTAATTAATATAACTGTAAAATGCAAATATAATCAACAACCAATGCATTCAAATAGCAACCACAGTTCCTTAATAAACATCTTGGTATTAGAAAATAAAGTTACATAGTGCACCCTTAAACAGGCATAACTAACTCACAGCATGATAACTTAGGGCATTTAGGCTCACGTGCTTATTTATCTCTCTCTGCACCGGTAACAGCAAGAGAATGCACAAAAAATTGACCCTTGAATTACCATAGCTTAGCAACACAACATACAACTCGACCCACCATTCTCCCCATCCACAGTTCACAGCAACTAGGTCACAAAGATAAAATAACTTCAGCTTAATACAGGTGCAACCATCTCTAAACATTTGACATAATAAAT